GAACAAAGTTCAGCAAACACACACTTGCACACCTCTGAGAAGGGTGTGTGTGTGTGTGTGTGTGAGTGAGTGAGTGAGTGCGTGCGTGCGTGCGTGTGTGTGCGTGCGTGTGCGTGTGTGTGTGTGTGTGTGTGTGTGTGTGTGTGTGTGTGTCTAAATCTTCTGTTTCTAGTGTATGAACACTAATCAAACCAAAGAGCTGCAGGAAGGCTGGGAGTGTTTCATTATGTCAGTAAATCAGCTCCACTGCAGCAGTCACTTACACAACTAGACAATAACCGTGTGTTAGTCAGGGTCAGGTTTAAGTGGTTGTTTCCTGTGATTGGTCTGTTTACTCGCTGGAGGAAGTACAGAGCATTGAGCTGATGTGGAGCAGGGTTTATGGCAGCTGCTGAGAGTCATCATCATGTTTGTTAATGGAGCTGATCTGATATTAAATATGATCTGCTCATGAATCACACCAGCGAACAGGGAACGTTCTCACAACATTCTCACAAAGACAGTTATAAACAAATATTCTTCCAATACAACTAATAGAATGTTCATTCAAAGTCAGTGGCGGCTCCTGCCAATTCTCTCAGGGGGGGCAAATGTTTGCATGATTAATGAGGATAGGTCACCCATTCAATTGATAAATTAAGGGCTAGTTAAAGATGTAAAGGAAACTGAACTACTATAGTATTAATTAAAAAATAAACTGACTCTAACAATCAATCTCTTGCTCTCCTTATGTTTCTATATGCGTGTTAACACAATTCAGCAGCAAATGAAGACTGGAGCCAGGATGTGGTTTTCCAAAAAACTTTTTTACTTCAATTTCAGTGTAATAAGAAATAATTGAAGTCACATAGCTCTCCATGAGCACAACTACATTTACATGGAGTAAAACATTTTACAATTAATGTTGTCAGCATTTCATTTCATATGTTTACAATTACATGCTAATTTTTGTCATAGCTTCATTTTTTTTGTGGGGTAGTGGGCTAAAGCACTGCACTGGTCAGCAGAAGGCTGCTGGTTCGATCTCTGCAGTCGTCACCACCGGTGTGTCCTTCAGCAAGGCTCTTTACTCCAGGTGGCTGCTGGGGGATTGGGGTCCCTGTAATAAGAGCACTATAAGTCACTTCGGATAAAAGTGTCTGACAAATGAATAAATGTAAATGTGATTTTTGTAAATCCTTTTTTGTGTCTTGGGTACAAACGCTCAATAAAGCTGCTTATTTCTTAAAGTTTATTTCTTCAAGGTACTACTATAATATAAATGCTTACATATATTTCATACAGTTTCTATTTGGGGGGTTTAAAGGGTTAGTTCATCCAAACATGAATTCAATCATTATTTACTCGCCTCACTGTTCAATCCTTGTTTTGTTTTGTTTTTCTGAACACAAAAGTTGATTTTAGTTAAGTTTGTCCTGCTGGTTTCTGTTCATACAATATCAGTCGATGGGAGACGGACTTTCAGAAGCTTCATGACATTATTTGATGAGGCTTTTGAAGCTTCTGAAACTCAGGTTTCATTGACTGATGTTGTATGAGCAAACCAGCAGAACAAACTTGACCAAACTCACATCCTCAGTGTCTTTTGGTCTTTCTCTAGATGCTATCACTGGCTCTGGGGTCACTGAGGATGAAGAGACCACAGCAACATCCAGCCCAGTTGAGGCAGTAAGGGCAGGTATAGTGATGGAGAGTCTAATCCATGGCACTGGACCATTTCCAGGATGCTGCTGTGGACTTCTCCATCCTCACTGCTCACACCAGTCTGCAGACATTTCAGATCCTGCAAAGACGCACAAATATAATACAAAAGCAGTCATTTTAACAGCACAATGTCATTTGATTTCTGTATTAGAAGTAACAGAATGATCTTACTTTATATTTTTGTTTAGGTTTTCCCCTTTTTTCCACAAATCCCGCCGTCACCTTTCCTTGCAGGTCCTGCTCCACCACAAAAGATCTCCAGCAAATGCACAGAAATCAAGAATCAGAAAAGTGCTGTGATAACTCTGTTTGAAATTACAATAATTAAAATAAACTACAACTTAAGATTTAAAAGATGTTTTATTCATTTCTGTAGTATACTCACTCAAAGCCTTTGATGGCAGCATTCCTTCATTAGCCGCTCTCCACCGGATAAGCAGACGTGTGTGCTCATCTGTCCCTGTAACATCCAGACAAGAGTCAAGTTTCCTCTGAGATTTGTGTGCTCAAAAGTATTAAGTAGTGTTAAGTAGCTTTTTATCCAACACAAATGTTCCTCAATTTTTCAACAGTACTAATGGACAAATAAAATAGATTACTTATATTTAGTTACTTTATGGAAATGTATTTACATTACTTACATTCATCTATTGCAAACAGTGCTGACAGCAGTGAATTGTACTACACAATAATACATATACATCACTCAGATGTCTACTTCATATCTAGGACCTATTAGACATAACGTTACTTCTATGAAATTCATATCGAAGACTTTCCTACCAGATATTAAATAGACATTTGGCACTCGTATTTAAGATGTAAATGGTTTAAAATGTATGTAAATCTACTTTGTGCTTCCTGGAGCCCCCGTTAGCTATACATAATAAAACATGTTTATACATCAACATCACAACTATACTATACCATTTAGCATCTTTACACTTTCAACAATTTGCTCTAAAGTAGTTCAGCAAATGCAAATTTAAAATAAGGAACCGTGTTTTTGGTTTGTAATACTTACATTTGTAAACGCCCTCATCCAAATGTTC